ACTATAACGTCTCACTGCTATGAGTTTATTCAAAGGTCTTTCTGCCCCATGGTGGTCAAAAATCAAAAAACATATCAAAGAGTTTTTTTGATATGTTTTCAGATTGAAAACTTAGTGCTTAGTGATTTCTAGCCATGGTAGTTAATATTTTATTCAAGTAATGTAATGTAATTCTCTTGATTAAGGTCCCATATTTGCCTGAAGGAATTGACAATTAAAAATTTCAATAATATCTGTCAAAATAGTTTTCACTTAATTTTAGGGGTCATTTTTAAAGGATACACAATTTAGGCTTTTATATGTCATCATGAATTACCTAGTAGGAAATACTTGTATGTCATGCAGTAAAATGTCTGGAAATAGACATATTGTCTGAACCATTAGGAAGAGTTGAGACTTTACTCAGACTTTGACACCCTACAATGCTCTCTCTCTCTCTCTCTCTCTCTTTCTCTCTTGTGTTATGTTTCAAATTCAAATTCAAAGGTGCTTTATTGGGACATGAAAGTTTTAGTAAAACAATGTTGCCGATGCATTAAAATAATTGGCAAAATACAATCAACAACACGTTGATCGATGTAGCCTATATTAATAACATAATTATTTATGTTATTTTCGTGTGTGTGTGTGTGTGTGTGTGTGTGTGTGTGTGTGTGTGTGTGTGTGTGTGTGTGTGTAGGTCATTCATTGTCCCTCAGGTTGTGGCATGTTGTTATAGTGGGCAGTAAGATATGCGCTGTCTCCTTCTAATTAGGAGTTATTTTAATTTAGAACTGAATTGGTTAAATTAAATGTTCCTTATTTCACTGAACGGTTTATATTTTAGTAATAAGTGCATCTGCCTCAACCTCACCTGTCGAACAGTGACAACATGTTTTGTTGTTTTTTGGTTGCCATGATTTTTTTTTGTCATCCTTGTTCAATTGCCAGTTTGTGGTCACTGAGCTTCTATACTTGGTCAGGATCTGCCTCTGCTTTCTGTCTCTGACAGTTAAGATATATTCAACCTCTGTTACAATTATTATCTCTGTTTAGGGACAGATAACATGCTGATCTATGGCTTTTAGTTTCTTCTGTCCAGTGTTTCAAATAGCTTTCTTTACATTGTGTTACAACTTCCTTTACACTGATTGGTGTTTGGAAAGCAGTGTTGTTGTGGGACTGGTCAGAGTGTGTTTGAGAAGGGGAAGTTAGTCTCAGCACCAACTGGCATAGGGGACTCTTTTCTGGGCTCAGCTCTTGGGATTGGAGGTCTGTGGAATGGAGGGTGTCTGGGGGGGGGGGGGCTGGATTTAAGGTGCTTAAAAAATTTGAGTGCTCTCTTTTGAATGTTAACTATCAGTGGACATCTGCCTAGTTCTGCTCGATTTTGCGCAATTGTTGTTGGTGTTTTATATTTATATGTTTAAAATGCAGACTTCTGAATGTACAGGTTCTGCTGGGTGTTTATCCCACCATCTCTCTCTCTCTCCCTCTCTCTCTCTCTCACACACACACACACACACACACACACACACACACAAAGGCAAGCAAACCTGATGGCAAAGCCCAACAAGGTAGGCTTAGGATAATTAAAGTGATTAGGTGTTTTTGTCTGAGCACTGTCTTGGTTTGCTGGCTCTGGCCTAACCCATGCCCGGCCCGCCTGCAGTCTGCCTGCCAGGAGGCCAGGAATGAAAGGCTGGCACTTACTCCTCTCTTCTCTATCTGATCCCCTGTTGCTACCCTAGATGCCAACAAAGATATTTCTGCCCCTAGTCAACAGACAGGGAGAAGGATACAGAGATATGGAGGCATGCTTGTCCGAGATAGAAAGTAAGGCAATAGGGCCTAAAGTTCAATTGCATCCCTTTGTGGCAAAATCAAGTGCTTTAAAAAGAAAATTCTCCATTTTATTTTCTATCTTCATTTAATCTTCATCTCATGACACACTCACCAGTACATGATCATATTCTCCTGGATCTGTGTGATCAGACTATTTCTTACAGAAAGCAGATGGATACGCTAGCAAAATTTGGGGAAAATAGAGACGGAGACCGGGTGAAACAAACAAAGACAAGAGGATGATGAAGATGGTGATGAAGAGGAAAACTCTCTTTGGCATGTTTCGATATCCGCCTGTCTCAATTGACCTGTAAAATCTTCGAGACTGGAACAAATGCAAATAGCGCTGACTTGCTCGCACCAAAAAATCCTGAAGGCTTTTCAAGTGAGCTCACTCTCACAATGGTGGGGTGCCCAGAGCAGGGTGAATATACAGTCTGGTCTCTGAATGGCACAATGTGTGAGAGCCAAACAGGGAGCTGTGAAGTGAAGGCTCAGGACCCTCCAGGCTGCCTGCCACTGTGCTGTGCTGCGCTTCGGCTGCTTCCACAGTGCAAAGCTGACCACCACCACCACCACCAATAACAGTCTTCTGATCGGCACTGCCAGGCTCACACTGCACTACCATGCTGCAGGGCTGTGCTCAGTATCAAAATGAAAATGAAATTCAAATTAGAAATTTAAATTAGAAACGAATAATACTAATTATTTTCATATCAAAAACTAATGTGGACATAGCCACGAGCAAGCCACACAAACCCCCTGAATTGTAAAAATTGTGAATTTAGTGTGTATCTCCCTGTGTAGAGTCAGCCAGGAGGTAATAGGTTTAATTCCTGCAACAGCGAATGTCAAATGCCCTTGAGCAAGACGATGAAGCCTCTCTCTGCTCACTAACTTCTAGATATACTAAATGAAAAGTTGAAATTCTAACAATAGATATCACACCCACAATTTAAGAAACATGGTATTGATTTGTTTCTCTACTTCATCAATATACAAAACACCTGTCACCACTGTGCTTTCGGTCACTGTTTTTTTTTTTGTTGCTGAGTGCTAAAGTAAAGTCATGGTTTAATCACATAACCTGGAAAATAATCGAAGTCCTGATTAAAACAAAAAACAAAAAAAAACAAAAACAAAACAAACAAAAAAAAAACAACCACTTTATTTTATAAGCATTAGTGTTAATTAACAACCCAGTTACACACCCCTTCATTAGCAGAGTTCCAACTCTGAAACCAAAACTTCTAAAAACCCGTATGAATTATTGCAGTAAATTGGTATTAGTCTTTGCTGATAATTGCAGTTGATCAAACAAACACATCTGAGCTCTTTTCTCTTGTTTCTCCCTTATATTCTCTCCTTATAGAATTTTAAAGCTACAGTATATTTACAGTTTAAAAAACATGGTAATTGATTCTGCCAAAATGAGACATTTCATCAAATCAGGGCACGTCAGCAAAAACAAAATCTGAACATATCTTAAATGTTGATCCAAAAGCAAATTGACTGAAGCTCTGATTTGTTGATCTACAGTACGCTTGAACAGCCCCAGTCCCCTTGTCCATGACTGAGGAATGTTTTGGTGATATCTCTTTAAGAGAAGGCTGAGCCTACAGCTGTGAGAGCTCTCTGCTTTGTTGCTACTCTTATTTCTACTTTCAAACTTCATTTTCAGCCCTTGCAAGATTTTCAGAGCCGTTCTCTGGACGTTGGCAGGCACTTTCGCCAGCAGCCAAACTTCCCAGCATGCCTTGTGGCGGGGCCGGCTTTGTTCACAAAGTTAACTGTGAAGTTGCTCGGCTCAGCATGAGATACAGAGCCTCATTCCCTCTTAGCTTGCACAGGTTTACATGAGATACATAAAATACTGTTAGGAGAATGAAATTTTCACATGCATACTGTATTTACAGCTCTTCATTTCACCGTGTTTCATTACACCAATATTGAATTTTCTTCCAAGAGAGTCCTACAGCTTTTGATGCATGACTATAATTTGAAAGCTGTGGTTAAAGTGGTAATAACTGACATATTATAATGTTTTATTATCAAACTTCGTCTTTCATCATCCCTCCAAATACTTGAATTAAACGAATGGAATTAAATACACGTCTTCAGTCACACTGCCCTCAGTCCACTCTCTGTAAAAGATGTATCATCAAAGCTACTTAATAGCCCAAAATGAGACTTATTTTCTATGATGCACAACTAAATTACATTTAATCCAAACACCATGGAAACAGTTCCAACCCTTTGCTCCAAAGTGGATATTACATCTTCCACTGGACGACATGCAAGGGACAGCGCAGGCAGCCTGCAGCATCTGGTGGACACCTGTAAGACTGCAAGTCACTGGAGAGAAAAAGAGAGGTCTTTGTGATTCTGCTAAGTCACCAAAAATCTAGGCCAGAGTATACTGACCCTCAGTGCACCAGCTAGCTCCAGAGCCTTCGGCATGGCAGCCATGTGGGGTATTTAACCCGAACGTTCGATCACTAAATCAAAGACAACATAAATAACAACGAACAGTCAGTGAATGGCAATAAAAATGTCACCACCAATCTGGTCAGCCATACAAGACCAGCTTCCATTTTCAATCATTTCCAAGGTCACTGACACGGAAAGAAGGAGGAAGAACGACCTGTGCACTTTATTCTAATCTTTTCTTGTAGTTACAGTCTGATCTGGAACTAGTTGGAATGAAGGTGCGACGGGAGAGAGACTGAGAACTGCCACTGTGGAATAGCCAGGCCTCAATAAGTAGATCAGCTCGTGCAGACATTTGCACAGTGAACCATCGCTCACGTGTAATGTCAGCGTCATGTTACACAGCAGATGCGTGATGTAGAACATATATAAATGTTGAACAGAATTAAATTAGCATCTGTGAAATATACTGTAATGCAATCAAATAAATGCCTTTCATTGCATTATATTGTAATGTTATTACAAAATAGTGCTTCTGTTATTTTGTCTATAGTGTGCACAATCAGTAATTCAATCATTTCATCATCTAAGTCACTAAACAGATGAAACAAATCGCTCTTATACACACTACACAGCAAAGATGCTAATTTATAGGTTTTTAAAAGAATAGAACTGAATGCTCGACTCTTATATTTCACAGATGCTCAGGTTATTGGGTTCAAGTTCTGTGTATAGAATGTACTCACAGTGATTGTTTCAGGGCCTCTGTTTTCTTGCTATTCATTGATCTGCAGGGTAAACTGAAAGAAAAAATAATTGTCAGTGTGGGTGAAATATTTATAATTGTAGTTGGTGACAAAATCTTTAGCTCTCAAAGACAAAGAAAATGGATTCAACATGTGTTTTAGCTCAAGCACCTCAGACCGGAATCCAGTGTGCGCCATGAGCTCTTTCATTTATGAGAGCTTATCACTACAAGTGAACCAAATCACAAAGGGACAGCCACTGACACCAGAGCAATTACGTTGTACAGGTCTAATCCCTTACACAGCACTTAGGACAGTTTTAAAGGCCACCAGGGCAAACTGCAGAGCTCCTTTAACTGTTAGGGTGCAGTTTGGTCCATTTTACAGCCACTGGGGCACAGGCCTGATTGTTAAGACCAGGGAAAGTAATCCCTGGAGTCAGGCCACTAAACCTGCTCTGTCCCTGTAACCATGGCAGCAGACAGGTAGTGTCTGGGTCACAGGGCAAACATGGCCGGGCTTCAGCACTGGCCGCCAGTTAATAAAGAACTGTCCCGGTGTGAACACACACACACATATACTCAAATGTGCTCGTGTGCATTCACACAAATGAGAATGTGAACACTCTCTATATGTACGCACACACGCACGTGCCCGCACACAAACACACACACACACACACACACACACACACACACACACACACACACACAGGTTCACAGGTTCAGGCGAGAGTCGCCAGTTGACCTGAGAACTGCTGCGAGCACAGAGCGGTACTAGATTTCAGTTAATCAACAGTGCCACTAGATATTCAAGATACTTAACTTAAAGAGTCGCAGCGACAGGTGAAGGGACGGACTGATCACAGAGGCTGGACAGACGTTTCATTCAAAGGATGGTCTCTGTCATCACACCAGACTGTCTGCGTCTGTGCATTTCTTGTTTGTTTTTTTTTTGTTTTTTTTTATGTTATGGTCTCATCACTTCACTCCATTATTGCATTACATTATATATGCAGTCTAGGGAGTCATAAAATAAATCTTTCAAAAAATAGAAATATTTCAGGGAGCACATGCTGCTACCTCCGGCCCAAAAACGCTGTCATTTGAAATAAATGGTAAGAAATAAGTATGTGTCAGTTACGAGATCCAATTGTCCAGTTTAATTTTTTCGTCTTCATGAAATGCCCAAACGATGGTCTGGTCCGTGTTGCCCTTTTTAAAGAAACACATGATCTCCCCTGGCCCTTTCCTCCATTTACCAGCTCTCCCTCTCTCTTTTCAGTTGCTATGAGACACTCCGGCTGAAGCCAAGGCTTCCACAATTCATTACTGGAGGAACAAAAGCCAAAGCAGTGGACAAAGCAGGGCAGACCAACTCAAACCAGCTCCCACTTAACACACACATCACACCTCTGAGTGCTCTGCTGACATACAAATGGCCAATTCAAGACCTCTTCTTTCTCCTTTTTTTTTATTTCCATTTTTACAAAGCCGGTGGAATAGATGAAGAAAACCCTTAAGATACACAGTAAGAAGTCAACAGGTTGAAGATTTGACACGTTTAAGGATCAGTGGAGGTTTCCTCTTTCATCGCAAGATATGATTCTTATCAGCATCAAAAACATTTTGAAAGGATTACAGGCATTAAAGTATTTCTAAACGACAGCAAAAATAACATTTAATGCGTCTTTTGTGGTGTAACACACAGCTTTTTTTCTTTTCTTTTTTTATGGATTTTGAGCCAAAGACTCAATAGGCTACAATGCACCATCAGTGCAACATCACCTGTCTCTGGCTTTTCACCATTTCTGCCTTGCCAAATCATGAAACATCTCTTTTCTCTCCAACCAATCAGATCTCAATCTCTGGCTGTTCTCATGCAAAGAAAGGAAGGGGAAGGCCAATGAGAAATGGCCCTCCTCCTTCCACTCGTATCCTACACACACGACAATCACCGTCTGAGAAATGCCAACGGACGGGCAATCAGTCATTGTAATTAGGCTGGGTGCCATTCCCCAGCCTTCATAATTCAGGCTGGAGCTGGAGGACATAGGAAGCGAGAGCCCAGCTGCCGGCTGCCACAGCCCACCACCACTGGTTCACCCAAACCTCAACACAGGCCACTCCCTCTCCCCTCTCCCCTCTGATGGGGGAACCAGCAGAATTATAAGGGGGCTGGCTGACTGCAAAATTAAAAAACTCGCCCCCCTCCATCTCCCTCCCTTCCTTCTTGTCTACATCCCAAAACCGCTCCCACTCACACTTTCTTTTCACTGCACTGCAGAGTTTTGTTCTCCAAGTGCGAGTGCAGATACCTTTTTTTTTAAAATGGCTTTTAAAAAGAGGAAGGGTCTTAATGTAAATATATTAAAAACATCTATAACAAGTGGGCTAGTGTCATGTACCCTGCACAATTTTATTTGTAGGCGTAAAGCTTAACAGAGGGGGATTTTCCACACTGTTTCTAGGAGTGGGGAACACTGGATTTACAGTACAGACATGGCTCACTCTTTTCTCTTTGGAATTCACAGCTAAACAGGAAGCTATGGCCGTATTCTGCAGAGATTTATTTTATTTGCTTACAGGCCGCGGTTGACTCAGAAACTGGCTTTGCCTGTTGTATAGGACCTGAAGTTTTCTTGGCAGTGAAATGAAGAACTGCAAGTTCAGCCAAAATAGACAATGAAGCAGAATGGAGAAACATGCCAAATTGCTAGGGCAATTCAGTCCAGAGGCTCATTTTTCCAAAATGATTCACACTGGAAAGAAAAGCATTTCCCTGTCCTTAGATGAACTTAGTGTGCTCTCTGTCGGCTTTACAAGGAAGCAATGGGGGAGGGAGGAGAATGTGTGCACACTCGATCACACACACACACACACACACACAAGCGTACACATGACCACGCAGCCATCACTGCAGATTCTTTGCTCACTGTGGAATTAGGTCATGCACATAAAAGCCCCAAACACAGACACAGATACAAACATGCACTACTTTAAGAAGACGTTTTCAAAGTCACAGGGGGAAACCACACACATCAATTCTTCACAAGAAAAAGCCGAGCTGGTTAAGTGCCATTTTACATATACTGTACTCTGTGCTGTACACTAACTGCTTGCACCACAACTATGGTACAAACAGTGTTTTTTTAGCTTGTACTCAGTTTTCAGTGCAGCAGCAGCACAGTGGAGGAATGAGGGAGGACTACAGGCAAGTTTTGCATCAGTCAGCAGTGTCCTGAGGCTGGTTTATTGGCTTGTCTGGCTCAGCTGCCTGATAATGTTCACCTGTTCCTTCTTCCCACTGCAGGATGACAGTCAACAGTCTGCTGCGGCACAGCCAAGTACAAGACGCTCAAACGCGTTTGTCGTTATTTGTTTACCACCAACAAAAGACTTCAAATGCTTTAAAACAATATGCCGAAACCAATGAACTACAGCAGTAAGTACATCGACAAGTGTCACAAAATAATACAATCTTTTTACAACCAGAAAATATTATTGTGCAGCTTGCTCATGTACATCAGCACATCATGATATAAGCTTGTGTTGCAGGAGTGCAGCTCCCTTTGTAAATATCCACTCATTAAGTCTCACAGTAAAATTAGATCTTGCACTAAGCAAACATTAAGCATTAGGTTACATAGAAAAGATAAAAGCCTTCTGTATGCTTTTGCCGGGAGCTTTTTATGCGCTCATAACTGTGCTGCTACCACTGACAGTAAATATTTGTGCAGCTGTTTTGTATTTCATCAGTGATATGCAGCAGATATTATATTAGATCAAAAGAACGATCAGTGAAAATGAGGAGATCGAGGAAGCGCATTAAGGAACAAAACAATATGTATTCACCACAAACTACTGCGTGAAAGTTATTATCACAATGTTAGTTATTTTACTGTCAGACTAAACCATTATCTCTTCACTGTCAATCCTGAGACGCTGCTTACTCATCAGATTATGCTCAGAAATCTTTTAATAGCTGCTGTAATATAATTAATGATTCACCCAATGTGCATCCAGTGAGCTCCGCACTACACACAGCTATTAACTGATGAGCTCTACAAGCAATAAAGAACTGGAGAAGAGAATACAGAACGGGATATGCACACACGCACGAACACACACACACACACACACACACACACACACACACACACACACACACACAATGTCTGGACAGAGGCATGGACGTGTAGGCAGAATAAGCAGGCCGTATCATATTATACAAGCTCTCATATTGTTGCAGGAAACTGAAAATCCAGGTAAATCCATAAAGACGAGGATAGTAACCAGTCAAAAGCCTTCAGAACCACACAAGGGTTAAAGGACTCATTTCAAAAGGTGACAGAAATATGAGCATCGCTGTGGCACTGGCTGCACAAACTGTTTTCAGCACTGAGGGTCCTGCATGAAGCTGAATGACAAGTGGGGGGTTGTTTCAACTTTTTAAAAGATGGTTTGTCGACAAAAGCTTTGCTGTAGTTATCACCAGCTCTAATGTGCAGTTTTACTCAGAAGTTTGTTGTTCAGTTTCGTTCTGACGAAAATCCCTCACTCATCTTTAATCGACTTGAAAATGTGCAGCATAAAAGATGTTGTCATGCTGAAATGAGAGATTTCCAGCTGTTTCTGAATTCCACAGACACTGTAAAAGCAGTGTAGTCCGGTTATGCAAGGACATCAGCGAGGTCTTAGAAAGGTCTCATTAGATTGATTTCAGTGATAGTGTTTATGTATATTGTATATGTTTTTGCCTCACACAGGGGTAATTTACAACAACAACAACAATGCATAACAATTCAAGCTGCAGAAAATATAAAATAAATAAGTTGCAGTTTCATTTTATAGATCAACAACTAATGTCAGAGATTTTTTTTTTGACAAGTGACTGTTTTTATATATATATATATATATATATATATATACACTATACTTCAATTTATTGCACCTATTGATCCACACAAGATAATGCATCTCAAGGCACTAAAGTATTATCCTAACACACATTAACGTAACTTTAATGTGTACTGTGTGCTGTATTTTGACAATTATTACTTTGATGTTTTATGGTTTTAATAATTTCTTATCAAGTGTTCTTCCTCTATAGGTCGGTCTGACCTTGCAGTCTCATTTCAATTCAGTAAGTTATATTTATGTATATTTCTGAAGAGTTCCCGCACAAGACCTCTTATGTACTTTTAAACTGTTAATGCTGCACCTTTGCCTCACTTCTTAATGATGCATGAACGTTCTGCAAAATGACTGAGCTGAAACACTGTACTTACAATTTTCTGTTTTCTTGACACTGCAACATCCCTCATCATCGCATTATCCGGTATCATTACAAAATTACATGTGGCTTTTAAGATTTTAAACTGATAACTATGGTGCTGAATGACTTCAATTAATCTGTGCTGTAGTTTTGTTCATGTTTGCACTCATCAGCTGCACAAACTACACTGAATCTTCACACTATTGGGTGTGATGTAGTTAAACTAAACCTTTGTTTGTTTGTTTTTTGTTTTTCTTCTCATGACACTGAACCTTCAGTCATATGACATCTTCCAACAAGGGGCACTGTGCACAAATACAGGAAATAAACTAAAAGAACCACAACAGGAATAAACTCTCCACCACAGCACAAGTGCAACATTTAGTTTATATTACTAGTATAAATTGTAAAATCTCACAAAGTCATTATCATAATATTAAGTAGGATAATCTAACCTCGTGTCGGTGATATACAGAGGGATTTCACTGGCTTTTAAGCAACTTTAACACAAGTAAAAAATCTACCTTAAAGACAAAATCAACGTACAGTCTCTACTGTGCACAAAGGCCACACTTCAAGTCCCACTATAAATATTCTAAGAATATGATAATGGATCCTATAGTATAAAAACGTACATTTATTTAAAATTTTAACTTCACTTTTTGATGAGATATTCAGAATCAGTCACATGTGAAATACTTGTCGTAGGACAAAGAAAAGTTGCAGTGGACTCACCATAACAACGCACCATGTGCTTGTTGCTTGTCAGATGAAAGTCTCCTCCTCAGCGTCCACAGTGCAACAGGCAGGAGTGGAAACCGAGGAAAAAGCTGCATGTTGAGGCTTCCTCTCCGGCTGCAGCTGCTGCGTGTTGTTTTGGCGCTTCGCAAAGTGTCCAGGAAGAAGGTCGACTGAAGAACTGCGTGCGTGTCGACGCCGCCGCCGCTCTTCATTTAATTCAAACAGCCTAGAAAGTGATCCTCAGCCGAGTTATAATCTACGAGGTGGTCCGACGACTGTCGCGAGGACGGGATTATTCACATCCCAGCGAAAGCTTTTCATCTGTTTCATCCGCTGCGCAGGCTGTCCCCAATATCTCCGCACGGCTGCATGGCGAGTCTGACTCACCACACTGTGCATAAGGGCTGGACTGCAACTTATTATCACAGCCAACAAGGGTTTTGACTGGTAACGTTTGTGGGGAACCAAAATATTTATTTGGCCTCGTTTCGTTTTTGATAATTGTTTTCTGCGGGGAATTCAGGTCCTGGTGCGCATGTGGCTTCAGAGCGTTTTGCTGCTGGGGAACAATGACTGCAGAGTTTCAGCTTCATATTATGAGAGTCAATATTTGATGCTATGGGAACTGATCAATACCACATATCTGCTCTATTGAAGAGGTTAGGACGTGACCTACAGGGCCTCATGTAGGGATGTTTTGTAGAATTTGCTCCATGAGCTGGGCCTGAAGTTCATTTACTTTGATATTTGGGGTTAATACAGATAAATCATCACTGTCATACTTAATCAGCATAACATACGCAAAATGTAGGGAATTTATGTAAAGCAGCAGAGGAAACATGAACCATCTGGTGAAGTATATCTTGATACACACTTTAGCTGAAGAGGGATTCCAGTACATGTATTTACATAACAGGAATTAAAAAGTCAGAAAGGTTCAATTTGGTCAGAAAAGTTTTTGGTAATGCAAAATCACCTCATCAACTACTGCACTTGTGATAAAGACTTATTAGTGTTACATCATGTTGTCAAACAGCTGTGGCCACCGCCCTGTGATCGATGCAAAATGTGACAGATTGCAGAGCAATTATTGTGAGCACCAGTTTTCTTTTTTTTTTTTGCTTTTTTTTTGTTTTTTTTTGCTTTATGTCGTTCTACTTTTGAATTCCTGCTGTATATTGCCAGATAGACGCCCTGTTTTGTATATGCATTGTGGAATCTGTGTGAAGGCTTTGTGTGCAGTATGCAAGCAGTTGCATTACAGCTGCAGAAAATACAGTTTATTCGTTTTCATCAAATTTGGTGAGTTGTATTGCAGGTGTTTCTGAGCGGATGTTTGCTATAAACACAATCACATTTGTGAGCTCAGCAGTCAAGCACCAAGTGTCCTCTGTGCATAGTGCACTTAAGCAGTCAAGTTACTCACTCTGCAACCCTTCAGACAGACCGAGTGGCCTTGGAGATGTTTTAATGGTGATTTGAGCTATCACTCAGAATAACTCTCACTGTATCTTAAGTTGCACCTGTTGTACAAACTGCTCTAAAATACCAGACTTGACAGACACTATACACAGGCTGCACTGACTTTTCATCCAGGGACGCACAAACAACTTTTACCCAGCAACATGTTTTGCTCTGAGGCTGCAGGCCACTTAGGCCTCTTGATAGCCGCTATTAATACGAACCACCTCTCATACTGAGGTGACTCATGTTTCTGTGAAGCCTCACCGAAATTCATGATCGTTTTGATCCCGGTGCACCGCGGTGGCACAAGCAGCACAACCCTGTTGACCCCATACTGCATGGAGACAAGGGTAATGAGATTAGCCGTGCATGAGTGTGACCGTCGTTTGTGACGTGTCCTCGACAGGCTGTGCGTGCACAGCTTTCAGGCTCTGCAGTTCATGTGACAAAATCACCACAGTTAGGAGAGCGAGGATTACTGGGCGGGGTGATCGGGTTCACAGAGCGGCATGCTCAGGGCAAGAGTTAGGCACCATGGGCTTATGCCAAAGGAAATGACGTAACACGTCAGGGATTTCTGACTGTTATCAGAATGAACTTCCTTCCTCTTAATGATATTTGGTGAGTTCCATTTAAATGCAGTGGGACAAATGGTCCAGTTTTAGGCCTTTTTGTAATATTTCAGTGTTTTGTACAGTCTGCCTTTGCTGTATCGACAAATTTTACAGAATTTGTCCCAGTTTCATTGTTTTGATGTTTGCCTGATTTGAATCTTTTTCTGTTGGGATTTTCTACATTTCCTGGATGAGGGGTATGAACTTGTTGTTCTCACTGAGGGTCAGAATACGGCCATATTAGTATAGCCAGCGTGCCAACTTCTCGTGAACAGAGGGATGTGTCTACCACTTAATGCACCGTAACTCGTGGCCGCAATGCACTGTGGTGTGTTGGAGGTTTCGAGGGTTTGCCTCTAATACTGTACGGTAGATATGGCAGAGTTGCTCATTCATATCGATATAAAACAGCAAATTAAAAAAGTAGCTCTTATTCTTTCATTCAGAGTAGACTAACATCAAGCTTAATTTTTGAGTGAGATCCGAAACAGTCAACAGAAAATTAATATGCAATAGATTTGATAAACAATTAATCATTAAAGTCATTTTTATTAACTGAATATAATGCCAAATATTCTCCAGGTCCAGCTGCTTAGTTGTTTATTGAGTTTTCCAATATTTAAAGACCAAACAAATAAATAAATGATTATTATTTAAATAATAAAAATAATCATTAGTTGCACACCTAATTGTGTGGCTGTGTGACATCAGATCTGCTGTGTTTGGCCATAAATATGGGAGCAAGAATAACGCCTGAAGAGGATCCTGTGTGGTTGAAGTGTCAGTAATGTCCTCGTGAAGTAAAAACAACAGAGAGTGACAAGTATTTTTCATTTTGCGAATTGCTGCCCAGCACCTGCAAAAAAAATCTGTGGGTGTGTGTGTGCAACATAATGCACCTCACAAAGAGCTATTTTAACAGCATCAAGAACTTAATGGTGTTTTTTAATTGTAAGTTCAGTTATGGCTCTTTCAAAACAATTTGAATCTTGATGTCGTGAGATGAGATTGTCAGCTCTGTTGATGGTCTGCAGAAGTGTAGTTGGCCAGAGTGTATGTTCGGACCACTGACACGGGCTCCACACAGAAAGTCTCTGGAAGAAGTTTTTGCCCTCAACACCCACCCTGTCTGGCAGCTCCAGACGCAGACTCAAGGACAAAGACACAACTATGATTCTGCCTGTTAAATCAAATCATTTTCTGTCGACTTGATGTTACACTGTTCAGGAGAGACTTCTGCTCAGCCTCACTGCTCTGATTAATTACATGCTGACCACTGGATCAGAGCAGTCGCATTAGATTCAGCTGTATTTAGCTTTGTTTCATCAGTGGGCATGTTTGTCAGTGTTGTGCATGTCGGGCAGAGCTTTCATGCTGCTTCATAAGGGAATTTCCTGAGGCAGCGTAAGGAGAGAAAAAGGCCACAGTTTACAGCACTTGAAGGCATGATATGGTTTTGTGTTTCCACAAGGAAGACCTCATGCCCATGTTCTGAACCATTTGAGTGCAAAAGGAATGCAAACTCCTTTTGTTTTGGTTATGTCCTGGTTTTCAGGACTTGCATAAATAATTGTGTTACTTGTTTGCTGTGCTGTACGATTTATCATAGTGTATTTTTAAAAAAGTCAAAACTGATTTGACAAGTTTTGACATATTTTTCCTCCATGCCATGATATATAGGATTTACATCATTGTATTTATTTATTTATAAAAGATAATATTTGCAAATATTATGCCAGAAGCACAAATCAATACTGACCTTGTGATAATGGGAGATTTGTTTTTCTGCCCAGACAGCTGCTCACGGTCTCCGCCCACCCCAGCACCACACGAGTGGAAAAGCTAATTTTTTTTTATTTTTGATCTAAAGTCACTTGACAATTGTGTGACGGACCCTGAATGCACAGATCCTTACCCTGTTTCTATACTCTGCTTCACACAATGAATCTCTTATGCTGCTTGATCAAGAGTCCAGACACAACATGTTTGCAAATGCAAAACCACTTGATATTTAGATTAAGGATTACGACTTACTTGTCTCATTGCCTTCTCCCAAATTCAATGGAGTTTACCATCGTCCATAAGCATGTGAATTCCAGCTATGGGGTAAAGCGATGAGGTCGCCTCTGACTGTGGTGAGATGTTTTGCTTGAATGCTCCTTGACCTAAGACTGTCTGGAGGCTCTTTGCACACTAAGCCATGCTTATTTGTAAACAGAATGCTTTGCTGAAGTTCTCCACGCTCACCCTCCACCCTCTGAATTAGGCCACTTTGCACAAAGAGACCATTCTCACTGGTGTTTGGACCTCATTTCTACTCTGTATACTCCAAATTTGTTGTGGAGGCCTTCATTTGCTTTGGATTGAGAAAATGCGACTACATTTTTTTGCAAAAAGAATGTATTAATCAGTAAATTGAGCATTGTGCATTGGGGGTGAATGACATGAAGGCAATGTTTGATCTCAGTAGTTTTTTGGTGCCCAGACCACCAACCTGACTGACAATACACCCCCTAAAATGCTGCATGAAATCAAACAAGTCTGTAAACCAAAACTGGCAGCGGACCTCAAACTCTTGGCTGTCGCTAACTTTCTCACATTCTCCCTCGTGCTAGTCTGCTAAATTTCAGAGCTACCTCCTTAGGAAAACATGTTCATTAAATTCCCAGCAGGAGTCCCTACGTGGGCTTCACCCTGTCATTGACAGATGCATGAATGACTCAATATGCGTCTGGATTTGTAACCTGCGAGGGCTTAAGAAAAAGCCCGGGAGACAATGGCAACTGAGGCAAAGCTGCAGAGCCTTCAGTCTAAACAAAATCTCATTGTTCCTGTTTTCCACAGTTAGGGGGTTAGGCATTCCCTCAACCACCCCCCACCCCATAAGACTCCCAGAACCTCAGTCCGCTGTCCCGCCCCGGTCTCTGTACTCCACCAGCTCTGAGTGCTGTTAGTGAGGCTAGTAATTAAAGAGGGCTGCCTCTCAGTTTCTGCAGCTCCATGGGGGGAGTCCCTCCATGAAATGTACTCCTCATTCTGAGTCCAGACGGCAGCTGATGAGGGATTATCTGCTGGCAGAGGCATGGCATACTCCCCACCATAATCTTCAATTAGTTCAGTTCACGGTGATGTGTTGGGTGGACCTGCCACTACCTTTCCCACGGCTTCTTCATACACCCCACACCAATTTCTTGAATAATGTAATGTATCACTTGGGGTTTTCATACAGAAAGTGTTAGATTGGTAGCTTGAAATGCCATCATTTTATTTTGCAAAAAATTAAGTAATTTTAGTATGTA